ATGAGTTGACATTTATTATGTAAATTTATAAATGTTTATGGAGCGTCAAATTAAAAAAAAATTAACAATTTTGATCGCATTTCAGGCAATTAGGAACTTTAGAAAAATTATATTAATTGTGTAGTAGTACACAAGTATAATAACAGATTATATCCAAAATTGATGTTCAAAATAACTGTACAAAACTGCTGTTCAAAATAAGTGCTTAAAAATGTTAAATGAAAGGTATTATTGAAGAGTTCATAAATAAAAGGAAGAAAAGAAAAAAGAAAGTGAAATAATTCCATTTTTTATAGTAACTTCCAAGGTTGGAAAGGCAAAGTTAGATTGGTGGAGATACTCTCACGGTTACACTTCACGGAAGCGGCCCCCCTCTCGTTATCATCTTTCTCTCTCTCTGTCTCTCTATATATATATTACCAACCTTCGACGCCATCACTTCTCTTACTCCTCCTAAACATGGATGCTCATCAAAATGATTATAATCAGATCATGGAGGATTCAAGAAACATGGTCATTAGGGGGAAAAGAACCAAGCGTCCACGACCCTCATCCCCTCTTGCTCTAACCATGGCATCCACTTCATCCACCACCACAACCACTAGTGAAGGTGGTGATACTGAAAACCCTTATAACACCTTCTTCCACACGCCAACCAACTCGATCGAATTCACAAGAATCATTCAAGAAAACGACGACGAAGACATGGCAAACTGTTTGATTCTTCTCGCCCAGGGTCAATCTTCGCCACCACCACCACACAAAGCGGTGGTGGATACGTTATCCGGGTTTTATGTTTATGAATGCAAAACATGTAATCGTGGGTTCTCTTCGTTTCAAGCTCTCGGTGGCCATAGAGCCAGTCACAAGAAACCCCCTAAGCCTTGTTTAGAAGACAAGATTAGGCCAAATAACATGGTGAACCAAGTTGTGGATGTTCATCATAGCTCTACGACGCTATCTCTTAAAATTGGTTCCAGTCAGCAGACTCAATGTAACCGAAGTGGCTCGACAAAGGCATCTAAGGTTCATGAATGCTCGATATGTGGTGCTGAATTTGCTTCTGGTCAGGCGCTAGGTGGTCATATGAGACGACATAGGTCCATGCCCATGGCTACAACCACTTGTGGCAATTCCGGTGGGTGTCAAGATTCCAAGAAACCGAAAACCCTACTGTCATTGGACTTGAATCTTCCTGCTCCAATTGAAGATGATCATCGGGAAACGAAATTCCCATTTCGATCCAAAGATCAAATGATCGTGTTCTCGAATTCTTCTCTTGTTCATTGTCATGTCTAACTACAACATGTTAACACATTATTTATTTTTTTCGATTTATAGTGGATTGTTAATTGTGTATAATGATTCTTTAAAATTCATTTATTTTGTTCATATAATTGATGTTCAGCATGGTTGAATTCTTTGGAGTTATGTGGTTAATTACTTAACTATATACAAACCCATTTATTCTTTATTTTTGTGTCCTTTTTCGTACATCTATATCCAAACATATATGTAATTAGGATTAAACTAATTTAATATTGAAAAAAAACTTATTTAAAATTCAAAATACCATTTACTAAATGACCATTTCCAAATTAAAGATTACGATTCAGCCATATTATGTCAAACCAAACGTTCATAGAAACACGATAGAATTTGAGAAAAAAAAAATCACAGTAAGTATAACCAAGAGGAACCTGTGCAAATGATAGTATACTCTTCCATTGTTTTTTTTTTTTTTTTTTTATTTGATTTAAGTTTGGAGGGCCCAATGGCATGTAGGAAAAAGATAGAAACGGAACATTTCAATAAAAAAAAAATCTTGGATCGCCATTTATGAGATCAAGAGTTTCACATATTATTTTATTACTTCATGGATCGTGAAGACCTCCAAATATACATCACGTTTTAGTTCTCTATATTAGTCTTACAGAAGCCATAACAGGACTTATTGAAACAAAAATCAATCATAGAATTTGACGAGCAATAAGTTTTTTAATATTTAATTAGGTTTAATCCTAATATAAATTGGTTTAATTCTAATCTTTAATTTGGAAGGATATTCTTGTAATGTCATATGGAATTTTAATATGAAGTGATTGATCAAAGAAGATATGAGGTGACCGACCAAATGAAAAATAATATAGTAAACTTGGAATATCGTTGTTGCACATGTAGGAAATGAAAATTGTCAGGTATCTCATGTTATGGAGGTATTCAAGGAACTGATATATCAACATTGCAATACATAGGTGTCATCGTACTTTACAATGGAAACAAATCGATCAAAATATATAGAGGTTGTGTTTCCTATGTCAATTCCAGTTGAATACGAAGAACCAGATGAAGTGGTGGTTTCATTGATGGACAAACGACAAGTTGGACGACTATGAAACCATAACTGTATCCCATCCCAAGGCAAATCTCCGATCAAAAAAAAATATGCATCCGTTGCCAAAGGATCGGTCACACAAATAGAAACTGTGACATTTAGTTTCCCACGGATTCAACAAAAAATGAATATTCTAGTAGAACCAAATCAAGTGTCAAAATTAACGTTAAGTCTAAGAGTAGATCTAACGTTAAAACTAGTCAAAAAAGTAGTCAACAATATGATATTGTTGACCTTAAAACCCCGTGATGATATTTGTACGAAATTAGAATATTTTACAATACGTTGTTCAAAAGCATAAACTTGTTTTTGCTACGTCAACATTACGAAATTGTTTAAAACATACACAATAGGAAACCATAACTCAAACATCAAGGTAATCTGTAACATCTATCCACAAGACCTTCTCAATCCACCACAAAGCATCATGCCCTCACTGAGTAGGATTCAACAATTCGTTGGGGGACGTAGTATAAAACAATATATAAACATTAATCTTATGTTATTTTCTCATAGAAACTTATAGATTATAAGGTGAACTAAGCTACATACCCTAGTAACATCAAGAATATGTTCACAATCAGCAGCGTGCAGACAACTCATCCTAAGGTATGCAATTGCCCAAAGGATAACATTGGACATAGTTGTAGAACTCGCTACTCGGTACCTGTTCGGCCGACTACCGAGTAGCGAGTACTCGGGATTACTCGGGGAGTACTCAGATTCGGTAATTCATGTAGAAATAATTTTACAGAAATTATATATGTCAAAATCATAAGTTCAAACCATAAGTTGATTGAAATATATAACAAAATTAGATACATATGAATACACAAAAACTGAAAAACACACAATCGTCTCACTTCGTGAATAATTACTGAAAAATTAAGATATATATGTAGTAATAATCACATGTGTGTGTTAAATAATAAATCATTAAGTATATTATACACTAGAAGAATATTCACGCGTTGCACAGAATAAAATTATATGATTAAATTTTTGATAATCATACATTATTGAAAATATTTATGTCATTTTTATTAACTATAAAATAATAATAATTACATTTAGTTGATGAAAATTATAATTAATTTGAACAATAAATAATATAACACCTATTAAAATCAAATTATTTAATGGTCTCTGTTCACGCTTTACATATGTATAAAATTAGTTGTGGTGACTTAGTAAGACATATGAAATATATGTAGAACAAATTATTGACCTATCTTTAAATTATCACAGCACTCCAGGACATGATGCATAGCTTTATATTTGCATCTAGGGATTATTTGGGCATGAAACCCTCATTAAGGAAGTTCTATTTCCAGAAAAAAATAGTTATAATACTCACTATTTTAATTAACTATTGTTATAATTTATTAAATTTTAAATTTTTTGATGATGTTTTAATTTCATCATGAATATTATTTAAATTATCAACTACTACTTGTAATGTAACATAATTTATTTTATAATTTCATGTTATTTTTAACTATTATTATTGTTATAAATTAATTTAAAAACAACTTAATTGACTTTTAGTTATTATATTTATCATATTTAGTAATTTCCTTTCAACTATTTTAAAAAACATATGTTGGATTTTTATTACTTTAGTTTTTAAACTTTACATTTTATTTTTAAGTTTTTTTGATATATTAATTTTGGTTATGCATTTAATACTATACTGAAGTCAACAAATTTAGTATATCATATTGATAATTCAAGAAGTCTTCAACTTATGATAATGTTTATAATTAACAACATATTTAATTTAATTAATTAAATATATTACGTGGAAATATGAAGAGTTAGGAGTTCCAAAATTTTATCTTTAAAATGATAATGGTTTACATCCAATACTATATTAAAACTAATAAAGTAAGTATAATATGTTAAACGTTAAAAAAACATAATTTTATAAGTAGAAGTAAAGATATTATTTTAATAAATTTAGTTTATATATTATTACACTTTAGGTTTGATATTTATTTAACCTTATTAACCAACTTATAATTATTATTAGAAAGAAATTGTAAAGTCATAGGGAGTTTCAAATGAATGTGGTGAAAAGAAAAATGCATGGGAGTTTCAAATGAATGTGGTGAAAGGAAAAATGCTTCATTTATAATATAGTATGATATGATATGATAATAATCACCGGTTTTGTTGAGTTTTACAATAATCATCGCTTTAATAAAGGGCCATTCGGGGAGTACTCGGATTCTGTAACTCGCCCTGGTAGGAGGCCGAGTAGGGAGTACTCAGCCGAGTAATCAGCCAACTCGGCGAGTTTTACAACAATGACACCAGGTATAGGCGAATCAACTATACTACTATTGGGAAATGTCTCAATGACCCAAATATACAAAATTAAGATGTTAGACAAGTAACAACATAATAAAGTTACAATACGTGTTGCTTATAAACTATTATGAAAAATAGTCAACATACCTTAAATATGCATAGACAAATCCCTACACAGTATATTTATGTCCACTACTGACTCTTGGATGGGTAGGGTGCAAATGCTACTCAATTTTATTAAAGACAGTATGCAGCCGTTTGTAAGTGAAATCCCATATCACTTTGCCCCATGGGTACATGTGTCAACAATTGCACTTAATAAGTACATGTATCATTTAAGATAACGTATGTAAATAACTATATACCTGTTAAAGTCGTCTAAATTAGAGACAATTGTAAGAAGATTATCAGTAACCGGCTGCGGAGGGTATTTCCCCAAAAATCCCTGCTCTAGCATATACAGAAGGGAGACTCTCACCACTTCTGTGTCACCTAATTGATGAAGGAAGTCATTGAACACGTGCATAAGGTTACCCATGTTCACTACACAAGAAGGCGTCACAAATGGAAATATACGTTGTCTGAACTGTACAAAAGTAGAACCGAGGGGGGGGCATAGTTTCCAAACCATAACCTGATAATCAAGTTAGAATGCTTTCCTGTCAAAGCAAACCCGATAGTTCTGTACCAGAAATAAAAGCTCTTGTAGGTCAACTTTATCATTTATAGTATATTCCTTAAACATAAGATAGTGACCGAGTAAAAGGTGACATTCCACACCTATCGGCATGTTCACATAATCACCAAAACATGATTGCTTAAACATAGCCGCACAAACTGGCGGGTTTTGTAAACGAGCCATGCTTTACCACCCAAGTTCAGGCATGCATGTTGTAGTCACAACCGCTTCGTATGTTCTGTCATGCAACCATCAAAAGAAGCATTAATCAAGCAATTTAGCATGCTCTAGAGGGCATTCCAGAATACATATTATTCTGGATCTATATTCCAGACCCCTATTCTGGATTACAATTCTGGAAAATTACAATCCGTATCCATATTCTAAAACTGTTCGTCACATTTCGAACCAGTTCTTCGTATTCCGGATGTGTTTTACGGATTTCGGATTCGTTCTGGACTAGTCAGAATGAGTATATTTTTATGTTTTTTTATGTGGAATTGTTCAATGGCAAAAATCTTGAATGTCATGGTGAAGAACGTCGGAAGATGATAATAAGATCGAAGAGTGCAAAAGTAAATGACATAATTACCCTATGACCCTAGTAAAACATGTTTGTTGTAGGCCCGTGTAGTGTGAGTTTGCCTTTTTCAAACCACATGTTAGTTTCAACTATGAAATAAACAAATAATCCATTAATTTTTTTTAAAGGGAAATAGAGTAAAATAACCACTTTTTGGTGTAATTAAAAAAATAATCCATTTAAATAAAATTTTGAAAATTAACCGTTTTCTCTGGAATTAGTCGTTCCGGAACCAATTCGGACTCTTTTGACTGTTGGGCCGGCCCATCAATATTCCTCGGAAATGGGCTCTTCCGGAGTATCCATACATATTCTAGACCCATTTTTAG